GCCGCTCATTCCACACATACCACACAACAGCGAGAGAAGCAGATCCAAACACTAGTGAGTGGCCTACATAGACTGTATTTAAGGCAGTGTTTAAGGCATCATAGGTGCTCTTCCAACACAAATCCATGCCAAATTCAAATCAAACATTCACAATGACACTTGCTGGACGTTTCCAAGTGGCTGTATTGTTGTTTATAGTGGGAGTTTCTACAGCTAGATGGTTGAGTGTGATTGGTGAGCTACACAACTGTCCATCGATTGTGAAAGTCCGATTCACACTGAGATTACAGTACAGTGTATATCCATTCAATCCCAAAATCGCCTTTAAAGTTGTCCATTTATGTTCGATTTTGCTGCATCCACTCACGAAAATATATTTTTTAATATATTTACGGTAGGAAATGTACAAAATATCTGATCTTTACTTAACATCCTAATGATTTTCGGCATAAAAAAGAAAAATGTTGACCCATACAATGTATTTTTGGCTATTGCCACAAATATAGCCGTGCGACATGTGACTGGTCTTGTGGTCCAGAGTCACATATGCTCTGAGAACTTCAACGTAATGTCGAGTTCCTGGGGGGGCCTCGCAAAAGAGGTGCTCAACGCCGCCCCCTATATGTGCCAGCCAGCATGTGCAGTGAGAACCGATTGAAATGTTGAAGGAAAAAAAACAGAGATTCCCAGCCTCTCCCATGGGAATCTCTCTTTCTCTCTGGCAACATCACATAACTCTTCAGACTGTCAACACAGCATTTCCCACTCAAATTCCCTCCCGTTCTTTCACACTATTCCTATCCACACGGATAAAGGGGTTTTACTCTCTGTCAGGCTTAATTCATCCTATCAGGTCCAGTGTGATATATAAATCTCAGAAAACTGTCAAGAACAGGTTCAGCTCATATTTCACTCCTAAATCAGAAGAAACTACATTTAGCAGAAAAGCCTATTTTATGGAACATTACTTAGCATTTTTCATGCTAATTAAACAGATTTTCTTTCCGATTTTCATGCAATAGTCTAATGCTGATTTTAACCGAGATAAACTCGGAGCAGGAGAATACGATTTTTTTTCACATTAGGATGAATGAGCATTTGAGGAGGAAATTGTCTTGCAGTAAAATCCTAAATCCCTTAAAAATATCTTTCATTTTGGTTTTAGGTTGAAATACGACCCATTTTTTGGTGATATCCGCCCATTTAGAAGCATGAACCTGATAACTCCCGTCTTTGTGCCGGTATAAAGACTGTGGGAACCCTGCGTAGGTGACATCACATGACATTTGACATGTCCCAGGCCAAAAGCGTCAGTGGTTGGTTTCACAGTTGATTCAGTGGGATCTGGTTACGGCGGTCAGGGTTTATCAGCAGTCTATCTGCCTCTGTTTAAACGACTTATTCTTTAACCATCAACACTTTGCACGCTTTCCTAAAAGCTCTCAATCTTTGAACATCTCTGTCTGAGCTCTTTATGTCAGATTCATCAATGAATACGACACAGAAAGAATGTGCAACAAGAATTGACCATGCCATTATATGAGGAGAGAAGACCAGGTGGAAACGTCATTATCGGAGTCAGTTCTATAAATACTGACGTTCTGTCGTCTTCACATGAGTGTGTGTGTGTGAGACAGACCTCTGGCGTCTGGACACCAACACCTGGTTTTTACAGTACACCGTTGTGGGCCGACCACATTTGCTGCTGTAAAAGTCAAGTCAGCCTATGGCTGTAAAAAGCAAATGAATTTCTGTCGCTCATGCTAATGGCCGTCTTTAGAAAACGCCTCACCTCTTCCAAACCTTCACCGCTGGGAGTTTCACAGTCTGACTCTGGAAAAGCAGGTGAGCAGTGAATGAAACCAAAAAAATATCTGAAAATACTGATAAACTAATTTAGATGATTTACTAAGTAACTTAGAGTTTTGTTAAGGTACAGTAAGTAAAGTACAAAGCAAGTAAGGACAGCAAATGAAAGTACTTTAGTCATTTCAGTAAAGTAAGAATGTGAGTGAATGCAAGAAAGATTTAATAAAGCATTTAATCAAGTAAAAGTATTTAAATAGAAAATAAAAAACAATGAGTCAAATTTACTTATTTTTTTAAGGGACATTTTTGCACTGATTTTTTTTTGGAGTAAATTTCACACATAGAATTAAGTAAACTATACTTAACTAAGTTAAGTGAAAGTAACATAAGAAATTAAGTTATATTTATTTAGCTAATTAAAGGTTAAGTAATACCTATTTAATCGAATTTTTCTTTGTACAACATTTCACTCAAACAATATAACATTGGATTAGACTACACTTTTTAAGTATATGATTTCCTCAGAAATGTTTAAGTAAGCAATACATAGTGTGTGTCACCATATCTTTATTTCTAAAGTTAAATGTGTGAACGCAGACCTCAATACTTGGTAGACAATTCAGAATGACGGTAACATTTGATGGATCGTTTTTGTGTTTGAATGTGTCATTTTAAGTAGAAAATGAACTCCAAATGTCACAAAATGGCCAGTTACTAAATCCTAACAACAAAAGCAATGATAAAATAGTGTAAATACATATGGAAAACAGTGAAAAATATACCTCATTAATTATTCATGGCCCAGTGCATGATGGGAACACCAGTATCAGAAAAGTTGAGTAATTTTACTTAATTTTATAATGTTGATATTTACGCTTTCATTTCTACACGATTGAATTGAGTACTACTATAAAATTTACTTATTTTCTAAAATTCTTGCCTGAACTGACCTTTTTCATGTAAATTACATTGTTTTTTTCTGTAGTATTTACTTCACCACAAAATCATTTTTATCAGTGTGCAATTAAAGTATGCAAAACAATAAGACAAAACAAAAAAGAATAAGACACATTCGTCAAATTCATCAGAAAAAATTGGTATCAGTTTTATTTTGCATACATTGTTGTGTCATTTGTATATGCAAATTCAAAAGAAGAATATATATATATATATATATATATATACAAAGCAGAGACAAATAAAATAAAAGGAAAATAAAAAAATAGTTATTTGCATGTTGGTTTACATTGTTTTGTTGGTATTTTTTGTATGCCAATTATTTGACAATACAAATGCTTGACATGCCAACAAATATTTGTCATGCCTATCATCCGCAGTCAAATTGAACCTGAGGCAGAAACGCATGCAGTACAAAAGAGAAGAATGACGTGTGGTGAAGAACTGTAGCACTAAAGACTGGTGCGGGAGAAAAGACCTGTGTTTATTTTACACTGACGAGTGTTTGGATGTGACACACACACACACACACAAAGTGTTTTTCTGTCTCATTGACACCTGTCACATCCTGAATCCTTCTATACCATCAACAGCCTGTCCATACAGTCTAAACTTCCTCTGATCTTATGAGATTTACAGCACCTAAAAACCAAACAGCTTTCATCCGGGCGCTCGCGGCCTAAACATGCCTCAAACAGGATGGCAGATCCATCATCGACAACATCAGATCATATGTTCTGCTTAATGCACAGTATACATAAGCCTTCTGTTTGAAATGATAAACATTTCAAAAAGGAGTAGGCTGTGGTTTAATTCAAAGAGGGACTGACTGTGCACATATAACAGTATGAAATAGCAGAATATGCTATTCCCAAACAGCCAGAGAGAGACGCTCTGTTCTCCTGAAGAAGGGCATGAGGAGGATTTATTTTGTGTGAACACACACACACACGCACAGTTGAGCTACGGCATCATCTGTGCATCAGATCTGAGCGAAACACGCATGAAATCGTTTATATGTCCCCGCAGTTCAACGTAATGTGTTACAGATGCGCTGTCTGCACGTGCACTTCATATAGAAATGCATTACAGAAAAGATATATACTGTATGGCGGACATATTTCTAGGAAGTTGACATGTTGTGGAGTGTGAAACATGCTAAAACTTTTTCAAAGGGCGTATTTTATCATTATGCATGTGACTTTTATATTCAAATAAACGAGACCACATGGAATATCTGTAGGCTCCTTTACAAAATACAGGGAACAAGACAACGGCCTCGTCGCTATAACACAGGTCTCAATACAGTTACTGTTACTACTGTAAACTGTTTGCAAACACACAGCAGCTGTGGGTTTATAGTTCAGTTAGTGGACCATCAAGAGCTGCGAGGGAAGATTTCGGCATGTCTCGAGAGCAGCTTTCTGTGGTTTCGGGTTCATAACGCACGATGCACTAACTATAATGGAGATTGCAGAACTTCAACAAGCTTATTTAAATCCATGCACAAGTATCACAGACATATTTGTTGATTATAAGAGCCAGAAACTACTATTTAAGTAAAAAAATAAATAGACTTTTCCTAAATATTCATATGTTCTTTTTTATAGTCTTATTTTGATAGTAAACAAAACACTTTTTTTTTAGATATATTTCTGGTAAAAAAAATTTATAACGTTTTCACAAGCATCTATTTGATTGTTGTTGTTTACGAAACTTTAAAAAAAAATCCTGTTAAAACGTGCACTGTAAAAAATTATATGATCAATAAGAAATGACAACATGTTTTTACACTGATTTAACTCATCAAAATAACTTAGGAAATGTAATTATAAGTTATACGAGATTCAACTCGTTTTTTTTAAGCCAGTTTAATGTAATTTAAGTTGAAATTACTTAAACATCCACAAGTTGAATAAAAAAGTCGATTGAACTTAAATATTTAAGGAATCAACTTTTTAAAAGTGTGTAAATATACATCTAAAAACAATATAGTACAGCATAGTACAATATTCAGTACAGTACAGTACAGTATAGGCGTCTAGGCTATAAAAACTTTAAAATATGATTGTTACACACCAAACACTACAGTGATGTAAGTAAAGCGTATGCAAAAGCACAAATGTCAGCGCGTCTGCACATACCGGTCCGGCGAGTTGAAATGCAAAAAAAAAAAAAAAAGATCGGGAGCGCGTCGTCCATAAGCGTCGCCTCATTTGATGCTCTCCAGTGAGTAAACCTCACACACGCGCGCGCTCCCGCCGCTCCTCCCAGAGTGAAGTTAAAGCGCGAGGCGAGTACAGCTCACACACCGGAGTTTCACCACAGACACTTGGACTCGACCGTGCGCCTTTACCCCCCGGACAAACTTTACAAACGGACTCTCTATCAAAACCCTTACATATCAACTCTATATGAGACGAACTTTATGTCGTTTGAAAAGAAACGCGAGTTATTGGATACATAAATGCAGGACTGACGGAACGCGCTCGGTGCCTTTACCTCCAATGCGCCGCTGATGCGCTCGAGCTGGTGAGTTTAAAAAGTGGAAAACGGCGAGAATTACCGCTTGTGTTTGTTTCTAACACATATAGATGTGGATTTGACAGTTTTTTCGTGTAATATTGTGAGAGTACCCACAAATTCATGCTTAAGTAAGTGTATGAGCTACCCATATGTATTATAGCGGATCTTTACAATGCATTTATTAATTTAGCAGACACATTAGCAATATTGCTTTTTATACGCAAGCAGCTCTCTGTCTCTAGAGAAAGCTTAGATGTGCAGCAATAAAGTTTCAATGTTGTTCTGAAACTTTGGTCGTCCATTCATGGTTTTACAAACACTGCATAGGTTCAGAGCGTTTCAAAAGGTTTGATGCTGGTGCAGTGCACTTGAAGTGTTTATGCTCGTGCATGTGTAACTCAATGTTGTGCATATTACCAGCGTCGTGCACAAACATGAGAACAACAGTCCAGATCAAAGCTGTGCAAGTCTGTATTCAAGCACTATTAAAAAAAATAAAGCTTTTCAGTGGTTCTTAAAGGGTTGTATGTTTATATGGAGATTAAAGCTGATCTTAAGTAAAGGTTCTTCAGGTCAGTGCTTTGGTTCCTGGGTTCTTTAAAGAGTTTTCTATAGAACTAAAGCTCTCTTTAGAACTTAAAAAGGTTCTTCTAAGGAATCAAGCTAGAGAAAAAAACCTGTTTAGCGCAAATTAGAACCTTTATTTTCAAGACTCTATATGACTTGTATACAAATACACACTTTTAGATGCTATAATCATTGTGGAATAAATGAAAAGCTCTGAACGACCAATGCAAACACTGGCAACTTCAAGTGCTTGACCGCAGCAGGACAAAAGCATTGCGTCTGGACCACGCCGGCTTCTATTTTTCTCTGAGAAAGCATATTTTGGTGCAGTTTGCTTTAATTTTAGGAGCTCGTCCCACATCAAACTCTGGCAGTCTAAAAGTTCAGCAAACAAATGGGCACAAACAGGTTTAATTTTATCCGCTCAATAGGAGTTCAAAGGTTTAGTCTGTTTAGTCACACGGGCGTAAAAGAGATTAAATGCTATTATTGCCGACTTTATTTCATGTTTTTAATTCTTATGCTGTGCATTGTCGATGAATAGTCCAAGAGAGGGAGGAAGTGATCAACTATCTTGTCTGGGTCATAAAAATGTCATATAATAAATGATGGGATAAAACAAAATAATTCAATACAGAACCGAGGGCAGAAACAGCGTTCACAGGGACAGCTTGACAGATGCTCTTCTAAGCACAACTCACAAGTAGTACATTTAGGTTATAAATTAAAAAGACAAACAATACACGCATAAATCGTTTACTTATGTCAAACATATTCAGATGTTAATGGGTTTCTTCTGCATAAAGAATAATACTGCACAGAGCTTTAAACACTTTTTCGGAACAAATCTTGACATATTACGGTCATAAAAATAATTCTGTGTGACCAAAAGTCAGTGATCTTTCCATTAGGAGAATGAGGGAAATGTAAAACTCATGTGATTCTGTATATTTGTCTCTGCCAGTGTAATTGTAGATTCCAGCGCTAGTTTACGATAGAAAGGCTGATATGCAAGGCAGGCGTCATTCAAACATGTGATAATCAGCCTTGCTGTCGTTTAGTGTTTAATTGCATTTAATTAAGTTTAGAGGAAAGCCCAACACTATACTTAGAAGCAATAAAAACACAACAGAAAGCCCCATTCAATGATAGAGGAGCGTTTGTTTGAGCACCAGGCTGGACTCTTTGGAAACTTTGCTTTGCTTTTCTAGCACAAAATGTGAGGTTTTGATTTGATTCCGGCTGACATCACGGACTTCCAACACATAATATATCTTAATTCCTACGTGAAACTGTTTAGGCTAAAAAGAGTCAGACTCTATGGATTGGAATCAGAGTACCTTTCCTGTGTGCGGTTTCATATTTTCTGGTGGCTTCCTAAATTCCTTGGCACTTGTAAATGTCAAAGAGAGAAGCCCAGAGAGGAGTTTGTGTAGACGTCGAGAAGACAAAACGGAAGGTGAGAGAACATGGTGCACAGGATATGAGAAAGGATGAAACTTGAGGGAAAAGCAAATATTCCTATCTGAGAGACTTAATTAAGGAGCTGTGAGCGGAGTAGAACTTTAAACCAACCCTGTCAATTCATTTTACAAGTTTATTATACACTGGCTTATGGTGTCTTGAAAATAAATAGGGTACACTGTTAAACATAATGGATTCAAAAGGGGTCTTTGTTGCAACGATGCCATTAAAGAACCATTTTGGCTCCCCCAAAGAACCATTCATGGAAAAGTTCTTAAAAGAAAACCCTTTTTTTTCTTAGTGGGAAGAATCTACTAAAGAACCCTTTTCCACTATAAAGAACTTTTGTGCATTAGAAAGGTTCCGTTGATGTTTAATGGAACCATCAATGCCGATAAAGAACCTTTATTCATTGAACATTCTGAAAAAATAAAATGAAAATTCTGCCATCATCAAAACCTGAACTCTACATCTTGTAAATAAAAGATCCTTTAACTTTAATTTAGCCTTCAATGATGTAATAATGTAAAATAATAACCTCCTGCGTTGGTATAATCAGAATGTGAGTCTGAGGTTCTGTGTGTGGCAAATCAAGCTCCTCGTGCCAGCTTTCCTCACAGTGTCAAAATAACATCCCTATGGTATTTCCCTACCGTTCTGTCCAAACAACATCACTCTCAGCGCAGAACAGAACCATGGGTTTTCTGATAAACACACACACACACACACACACACACACACGACTCTGCCAAGGCAAACACGGACATCTAAAAGCTATCTTGAAGACCACCTCCATGTGTCTCTGTGTTTCGTAAACGCGGTATGACAGAGACTCTATACTTCTCTCTGTCTCGCCATATAAAGGCTCCTCATATTTACATTGTTCCAACTTGAACAAAACCCTAACAACAAGCACAAAAATTGTAACTTTATAGTTTGCGCTACTGACACTAATGCCTCCTCAAATCATGCCGTTATATTTGAGGAGAAGTGTGCTGGTACTTTACTTAAAGTAATCAGGTTTAGGGCCTAGGGATCAGATTTTCATAGAGACTACCAGTTGGATTTGGACTAGTAAGTTACCACCTAGAAAACACCCTAGCAACTGCCTGGCAACGACCCGCAAGACCCTAGCAACGTAGCAGCAAGTTTTGCACTCATAATTTTAATAAAATGTAAAAATCTAGATTTAATTTGTCTTGCTGGGTAGCACTGAGACAGTATACTTGAAACCTAATAGATTCTAAAAGATTCTACAAAAATAATTCTAAAGGATTCTACAGTAAAAGATTCTACAAAAAAGACTACAAAACATATTCTACAGTAAAAATGTCTGAAAGATTGTACATTAAAAGATTCTAAAAGATTTCACAACAAAAGTCTCTAAAAAAAATTCTACAATAAAATATTCTAAAAGATTTGATATTAAAAGATTCAACAAAAGACTACAACAAATATTTTTAAAAAGATTCTACAGTAAAATATTTTACAAATAAATTCTAAAAGATTGTACATGAAAAGATTAAAAAAAATTCAACAACAAAAGACTACAAAAAGATTATACAGTAAGTTTCTTAAAGATTGTACAGTAAAAGATTCTTAAAGATTTTTACAACAAAAGACTATAATAAAATTAATAATAAAATATAAAAACAAAATAAAATAAAATAAAATTGAAAACGCCCTTTATTTATTATTCATTCATATTTTATCAGTAGGGCTGGAATGGCACTGGGCAAAATTTGAAGGGTGTTTCCAACTTTCCATGCTCTTGTTGCCACATGATCAGATTTGTGGTGTCCTGCTGATCCTGGTTCCCTTCTACACCAATTAGCAGCGCGTTCTCTGCCGGCCTGTCCTTCACAATGCAGGATTAAGAGGTTAAAAGTCAGGCTGGAGGTGAAGGCAGGGGAGGGGGTGAAGGGGCGTCAAGAGGACTGAGAGACGGGGTTAGTCAAACAGCGGGGTGGCTTGACGGAGTCGACGGAGCAGAAAAAGCAACACTTGTGAAAGAATGCAAGGGAAAATAGCAAAAGCCCACCAGAAAGGGTCAGGACAGACCTCAACTCTAATTGCACGCATACAAACTGGCATGTTGGATAGGAGCTTTTAAACAGGAGTGTTCAGGATCTTCCAGGTGGCTTTAGCGCTCTTAAATTAAACCTCAGGCTTCACAGAGCGACAAAGCCATGCTGACCAAGCAGTGTGTGTGTGTGTGTGTGTAGCCCGAGTCACCCGTCGTCACTGCCAAACCAAACTGAAGAAGACCTTGATGGATGAAGCCAAATGATGCGTTCTGAAGAGCCACATCAAACCTCGCTATAAGTACACACACATGCAATGGTTTCAGGCCTCTCAGCTGTAGCTCAAACCCCAAATAACTTAAACACAGCCGTTTATCAAACTTTCCTGTAGCTCTTTCTAGAGCTGATTTGGTCCGCTACGAATATGGCAAAAATCAGAAAAATGCTGGTTTGTCCACCAAGCTTTTTCCCCTCGGGAGGCGAAGGAGCACATCCGCGCGAGCCGCCGCAAAATTGCCGCATTTTCGCCAGGCAGTAAAAAAAGAAAATGACTTTAATCTAAGGCTGTAATTACCTCCCGACTGAACTGTAATTAGGAAATGAGCCTTGAACCGAAGACGCAGACCGCGGCCCTGAACTCTGCGCCAGGTCAAATACTCCACCGACCGCTATTAATGGCTAATGCGAATTCAAACACAGCGCCCCGATAAACATATTTGACTTCACCCAGAAACTGATAAGTGCAGAATAAGTGTTAGTTTAAGATGTTCTTGTTTAAATGTTTAGATTGGGCCGGTCTTGAAGATGATGTGTGTGTGGGTCGCTGTTTGTTTGAGCCCGAGGGTGAAGATGTGTGGAATGTGTCGGTGAACTTTGCTTGCACACACACACACACACAAACCCAGTACTGCGGGTTTTATCCTGATAGTCCCCCTATAACACATACACACACACACACACACACACACGTCCCCCGGCGTATCGCTGACGTGTGTCTCGTCTCGCTATTTCAGTAGAGGTTAACGCCACTCATATCTGCTTTCAGCCGACACGGATGACATGGTCACTGTGTATCTGTGTGTGTGTGTGTGTGTGTGTGTGTGTGTGTTTGCAAAATAGTTCGCATAATTTACAAGATGGAGAGAGCTTCAAAAACGAAGATAGTGCAGCTATATAGTGATCATAACTCTTACAGTGAAGTGCCACTGCATTAGCATGTTTTTGCATCATTCTAAGGATGTATGAATATGGTAAATGGTAATCATTCTAAGTATCATCCCAGATGGAAATGTCATTGATCAAAGTTCACAGGCATACTTTCATAGGCAAAATTGTCATTTAAACACACACACACACACACACACACACACACACACACACACACACACACACACACACACACACACACACACACACACACACACACACACACACACACACAATCAATAAGTTATGACAACATTACAATGCTTTGGTTACTTTAACTCATCAGAATAAAAGATTCAACTCATTTTTTTAAAGTCAATTGAATGTAATTTGTTGAAATGACTTAAACATCCAAGTTGATTGTACTTAAAAAATTTAAGGCAGCAACTTTTTTGTTCAGTGTATATACACATTTATGTTATCTTTAAGTTTAAATTAATTGAAAGTATTTGAGTGAGTTGTTGCCATACGGTAAGATTACAGGGCTATTCAATTAATGTGGACAGCAGTTCAGATCATTTCGGTGAGAAATGTTTGAGTTCATATTGAGACCTCTGACTTCCCTGACCCTGACAGATACCGCATATAGTGAGAAACACGGACACTGAACGCTGTCCCAGCACTGGCACATGACCTAGTTAAAGCGAGTGTGTCTGACGCGTGTCTCAGCGTCTCAGAGGTGTATTTTGGTGTTGAGTCAGTCATACTTTGAGCAAATATCCAGTTTCAGGTGTTGCAGAAGTGCGGAGGCGACTCATATTTAATAGTCAAGGTGCCGCCGACTGAATCACCCCGTGTTTGTGTTGTTAATAATCCTCAAAGAACATTTCTACTTAACAAAATACCACACTGAATCACTGCTCTTAAATAGCTGTAACATTCATAATGAAACCTTAGATTGAAATGACACAATCATACATGGAAGAACATTTGGTGTAGAAACTATTTTCACTAAGAAATCGCTAGTCAAGTTCATAACTACAAAGGAAAAACACTAAATAAAGAAAATAAGAAACTTTTGAAGTAGAAGACTGAAACAGTATTTTCAGTAACACTTTACTTAAAGCCTGTTTTGTATAATGGATTATAAAGGTATTCATAATGTATGCTATAATGCATAATGTCTTTACATAGGTCTAAGTCATTGTAACCAAAAGCAATGCATTATAATATTTGCCGAATTCGTATTGCATCTGAAATTGGTTGATTGTAAAGCGTTTAATGCATGTAGGGTAACTATGTAAAAGGTGTAACTATGATTATTATTATGCTTATTCACAAGATCATACAATGCATTACAAGGCATAATTAATGCATTAAAAATACCATTATAATGCATTCTGTATAAAGGCTTTAAGTAAAGTGTCACTGTACTTTCTTGTAAAACATACTCCAATAATCTGTTTTATTTACAGTTTCAACAAATATTTTAGGTAGAGAATGATTTCACAAAAAAATACTGTTGTCACCATGATACAGTGATGAACACTATATTATCATATATACCATCCATACTACAGATTGATTACCATATTCATATTATGGTAGAATCTCATAAAAAAAAAAAGCATATTTCACTCCAAAATTCAAAGAAAAGAATACAATATTTCCTTATTAACACGATATATGAATATTTTACAATTAAAATAATAATATATTCTTGTTTTTGTATCACAGTAGCCATAATGTAATTTCTTTTCTTTTTTTATTTAGGGGTGAAATATGACCCAGACAGGTTTTGTGAGATTCATACTTCCATGTTACTGCAAGATCCTTCAAAAGAATACTATGTAAGTCTAGTAATTACTTACTAGAGTACTTAGTAATTAATTAGCTGAAAACGCTTCTCTGACTTACATGGAAAGAGGAAAGCAGTGATTTTATGATGTTGTATCGTGCACAGGTGGTGTGTTATCTGATCAAACCACGTCCAAAACACACACGCGCACACACACACACACGCGCGCACACACACACAACCTGTTCAGCACCACAGTTTTCCTCATCATCTGCCTCAGGCCACATTGTGTGATGACCAGGTTGTGTGCGTTCATCTCACTTGTATAATTTACGGTGTTTACACAGAATCTACTCAAATATCTTCATGCAAAAGAATGTATCATGTGGCGATGCAAGTCATAAATTTCCACAACCTTTCAAACATCACACGACTTTAAGTGTCATATTTACAAAAAAGTCACACAGTAAAGTCCTCTGATGACAAAACCACAGTAAAGGAGTTATATATATATATATATATACACACATACACGTATATTTACTGTCACTTTTGATCAATTTAATGTTTCCATATGTATATATATATATATATATATATATATATATATATATATTATTTATTTACATGTATTGTATGTATATACTGTATATGATTCAACCATTTTACATTTGTAGGTATAACTGGATCTTTGTTAGAGATAGCTCACTTCTGGGGACAATTTTGTAACCAAAGTGAAGTTAAGTGAATCCAAACACAGAGAGTATAATAAACAGAAGCTGCTTCTTCTGAGACGACTGAACATGAAGACTGAAACGGCAAATGAATTAACAGAAACAAAAATGAATACATATATTTTAACACATCTAAATCGATACTGCAAGACAGGCACAAGCTGTCAGCCTGCATTCCTGCATGAAGTGTGTGTGTGTGTGTGTCAGATAAACACTCCGGACAGCCTGCAACGCTTCACTCGACTCCATTCAACACCTCTATACTCTCCGCTTCTAAAGACAGCTCGCTTTCTTTCCATCGCAAACAGCTTTTACCAGCAGGATGCTATCCAGTATTCCTGCTCGACCGCTTATTACCGGAAATCTCCAAATCACTCCATTACATTCATGCATTTAGCAGATGCATACAAGAAAATGTTAATACATGATGTGTGTGTATGTTGTTGTTGAGGTGAGATGTGTTACTTTTTTAGGTAATCAGACTTCTAATTTTTGCCTGGCGGACAATAAAGCAGATGAAAAAAATCATTTTTTTCTTTTCCTTTGTAATTTGCAGCTTCTTGCATGGCTCACATCGCTTCGGATAAAAGCATTTAATAAACGCTTTTATGCAGAGCGGCATTCATGTCCATAGCATGCACTAAAACATGAATACATATGTTTAAATCTCTGAGCAATACACTGCAAAAATGCGTTTTCTAGTAAAATATCGAAGCATTTCTATGATGTAACGTCTTGTTTTCTGAAAAAAGTAAAAAATAAATGAGTTTATACTTTAAACAAGAGCAAATATCTACCATTGGAATCAGAAAAATAAACTTGATTCAAAGAGAAAACAAGATTATTTTTCTGACCCCATTGGTAGAACGGCACTCATAAAGAGAGGGAGTTGATCGTTCATCTGTGGGACACAAACATGCAGACAGGCCTGTGCGTGCACCCTCTCATCCCCCCCCCCCGAAACACACTTCCTGAGGCATTCCAGCCCAGACCTAAAGTCGGACAAACAGCTGTGTGACGCTTACTGAACCTTTGACCTTCTCCTACTCTTACAGAGCCAGTACACAGAGAAGGAGAGCCAGCGTCCCGTCTCACACACCCTGGTGAGTCTGCAACATCTACCTGTCTTGAATGCAAATGACATGTGAAAACACTTTCAGACGAACTCGAGAGCCAGAATTGAGGAGATGCTTAAGCGATCTGGCACATGCAGCTTCCAAACCCACACATTTGGCTTGAGTCAAGGCAAAAAACCACAAAACATCCCGTCTCAATAAACCCCCTCTGAAATTAGATCGAGAGCTTAATGAAAAGTTGTGCAGTGAGTAAATGTGTGTGTTTGTGTAAACTTTAGTTTGAACCCGTGCTGCTCAAGTTCAGATCCAAATCTAATGGAACACACCTGAACCAGCCAATCTATGGGTTCAGTGGAAAATTACAGCACTCGCGCTCCTTCTCAATTTGCATATACTTAAAAGTACAATTGTTTGAGTTTGTAGGAGGAACCCAATAAAATACTTTGGAAGAACAGTTATGGAAACGTCATTTCGGAATGTTCAAAGAACATCATATGTTCCATTTGATCATTTTGCAAACATTATGGTTCACTTTAAATGTTCTCAAACAAGTAGTTAGTAACATTTACAAAATATTTGATGAACGTCACACTTAAACGCTACAGAAAAAAACGCTCCATGAAGGATATATAAATGACGTTTTTTGTGCTAATGTTTTGAGAACGTTATTAAAGACCAAGTAACATTGAACAAACACTATAAAAGTCACTGGAAGAACATTTGTTCATAATGTTTAGAGAACCGAAGTTTTGAGAATGTTGAGAGTGTCAACATTACAATGGCATAAAACGACATCCTTATACCACAGACACAGACACCTACTGTTTACGTATACGCTCTAACATCTAGCAAACTTCATTCCCTTAAAATTCTTTCTTTACATTTTTTGCAATCATACATTTATCAAATGCTATTGCTTTGCATGCAACACTAGTTTTATAGTGATATATTACTGAATATTACTAATTTGGAGTGTCTGCAAATATAAATGTGAAAAGAAAACAGTTTTCAACATGCTATAATTTGGGATGCACTAAACCTCATCTCACAGATTACTATTGGGAACAGATAGTGTACAAAGTAAGATTAAAGGGATAGTTCACTTTGAAATAAATTTTTGGTATGTTTTAGCTTACCCCAAGGGCATTCAAGATGTAGGTGTCTTTGTTTCCGCAGTATTTTCAATTTTGATATTTTTAGGTCAAACCGTTCTTGTCTGTCAGTCATATAATGCAGGTCTATGGTCACCACCTCAAAGAGCATGCACAGAGAAGTCCAAATTAAACATGATTTAATGACTCGTAAATGTAAGTACACATTGATGGCCTAAGACACGAAACGAGCGGTTTGTGTGAGAAAACGAACAGTATTTATATCGTTTTTACCTCTGGAAACCACAGCCACGTCCAAGTGATCTGAGGGCGCGGGCGCTTCGGTCTCTTCCGGAAAGCGCCGGAAGTGATCTCTCGCGCGTGTACGTCACTCATTGTTTACACAGAACAGAGATTGTAGGTAAGACGGCTAATTAAAATGGTACTAATTTGCGCTTATCCGGGATGTTTAAACCGTCGTAAAAGAAAACAATTAAAAAAAATAAAAAATAAAACAATTGTATGAGTGACGTACACGCGCGAGAGATCACTTCCGGCGCTTATCGGAAAAGACCGAAGCGCCGGCGCCCTCAGATCACTTGGACGTGGCTGTGTTTACAAGAGGTAAAAACGATATAAATACTGTTCGTTTTCTCACACAAACTGCTCGTTTCGTGTCTCAGGCCATCAATGTGTACTTACATTTACGAGTCATTAAATCATGTTTAATTTGGACTTCTCTGTGCATGCTCTTTGAGGTGGACCCCATAGACCTGCATTATATGACTGACAGACAAGAACGGTTTGACCTAAAAATATCAAAATTGAAAATACTGCGGAAACAAAGACACCTACATCTTGGATGCCCTTGAGGTAAGCTAAAACATATCAAAAATTAATTTCAAAGTGAACTATCCCTTTAAGTCTAGACCTCCAAGAACAGGATTGAGTATCAATGCTTGAAACTTTTGGAAGAGTCAATAGTGAAAGCTGGTTATAATCGACTCCTCTCCGCCTCCTGTTGTGGTTGTGTGTGTATAAAGTGAGTGTGTCTCGTAAAGCAGCCTGACTCAGCATGTAGAAGCACTCAAGCCTTGAGCTCTTTCAGAAGATGGGGGTTCATGTGTTGTCCTGCCTGAGGTGGGACAAGTGTTTATAAAACCCAACTCCCCTCACCCTGTCATGGCCTGTCCCAACAGCCCGCCACAGGCCTCAGCTCACCCATTCCTCTATACCCTCTGCTCCCTCTTAACCAAGACACAGCTAGGGCTAAACAATAGAGTGAACTCTTGAATTCGATGTCATTAGACGATTATGAGTTGTTCATGTACATTCCTGCAACTAAAGGAATTCTCGAGTGTATCAAAATTAGCATCTGTGTCAACACCACCTCTTTCAGCATAAAAGCTGAAGCGACGTTACTCGATACTCCGGCACATAGTGACATCCTGCTCATATTTGTTTTTTACACCGAGCCTGCGAGTGCTCATTCTGTATCCAGTTCCTCCTGTGTACACACTGCGGTGTGTGTGAGTGTTTGGATAAGTTGCTCGAGCAACCCTCAATCGTATTTCTTCGTTTGCACAAGAGTAGAGCCAAGGTGTCCGATTCGACTTATATGCAACCTGACTCACGGCACAATGCTAAGATTTACCTAACCTAAAAACACACAACAGAGCCATGCACGTAAACACACCCTTCATATACGTATGTCCAGATGTTTACGCTCAAACACAGGACTGTAATAGACGCGGGATTGTGACATGTGACGGATAGAGAGCATGTGGTTTCCATCCATCCTTTAGGCACATGGCGAACGGCCACTCGCGCACAAGGGCCGATGATCTCGGTGTGCTGAAGGATGGGTGAACATGAAGAGACTCGTGGGATTGCTCAAATTGAATGTTTAAAGGAGGGCAGAATGTTTCCAGAGCACTTGGTTAGCGTGTCTGAGGATATTGGGAAAGAAGAGCACTTTGCAGCTTCACGCTTTACGGCTCACACTGCAAAACTCAGCTTTTTTTACTTGTTTTCCCAGTACAAATATCGTTATTAAGTCAAGATACAGTTACTTGAAGAAAAAAAAGAGCATCAAAATTAAGTGACTTTATGCTCAAAATGATAAAATATCCGCCAATGGGGTCAGAAAAATAAACTTAATTAAAATGGAAAAAACTATTATTTTTCTGACCTCATTGGCAGATATTTTTTTTTTTTCTTGTTTTAAGCAAAAACTCACTTAATCTTGATACGTTTAAAAAAAATTCAGATTTGCTAAACAGGGCAAATTAGCATGAGAGCGCAGATGGGAGTGGAAACTTCTGCGCATGACCTACTGATGACGTGCAAATGAAAGAAAACAGACACGGCCGGATCATTTCCATAATGACCAACACAATCTACCAAGAAAAGCGCAAATTAGCGTCTGCTTTAAGACATGCTTTTACGGTAACGCTTCCTTTTACAGTACAGTACTTACGTGTACTTACAGTGTACTTACCTAGAAAGTACTGGCTAATATAAGGTAAGTACATGGGTTAGGGGTAGGTTTAGGGTTAGTACCTAGTTATTACCCAGTAATTATAATTACTATAATAAGTACATGGGTAACAGGACTGTAAAAGGAAGCGTTACCGCTTTTTCTTGGGCAGTAAATAATGGCGCAATTACCAGTAAATTGACGAGCGCAAACCTTAATAAATCACCTTACATGATTATCTTAAATATCCTCCTTATAAATTTTGCGTTTAAAAGAGAAACTCCTACAAATGCATACGCAATAAGGTCAGCCGCAAAAATAACAGTCTCCACGCCTTTTGAGCGCTCATTTTTCACTGCGTGTCTTTAGTAAACCCTGACTAGTTTTTTTAACGCCAACAGAGGGTTTGCGCTCCCGCAAGCTGTTAGTAAACCTGGCCCTTGATATCTTCAGCCTCATTTAGCTTTTCAAGTAAATGTATCTTGATTTAAGTATGTTGGGATATTTGTACTGGGAAAGAAGAACCTCACCTGTATCAATCCACAGGTCTCGACAGTCGTTCTGTGAGTGTACGATACATGAGTGTTGCGGGTGGCAACATGTCGTCAGCCCTGATGTTGGGAACCACAGTGCGTAGCTGGCCTATCTTGCACGTCTCGGCTGTCTGCGGGGTCTATGGGCAAACAATGTGCCCTATTGTAACCCATGATGCAATAGACAGATCCGCATGTCATGTTTATCTTTTCTGTGTGTGTAAGACGTTCATGTGTGTGTGTGGGGGTTCTGGAAAACGGCCCCAGGGCTACCAGACTCGAAAAATCACCAACGGAAAAGAAGCAAGTTGCACAAGCAGGTTATCAGGGCCAAATATCACAGTTGGCTGGAATGAGGAAAAAAGCAGCCTTCCAGATGCTGTCATCAGCAACACATAAAGACATTCCTAGACAATTACATGTCCTGATGCGCTCTCGGCTGTCAATAGACCAGTCAGCCCTCATGCGATGTGATGACAATCTGGAGAATGGCAAGTGTGCTCTTCATATCTGACATCTGTGACAATTACAAAACGGCCACCAAGTCAATTTCCATTTCCAGATTTGTAAACGACTTGTTTCTAATGTTTCTTATCAGACAGGTCTTTGACGCTCAGTCTTGCATGTTATCGTAATGTTGTGTTGATGTCACCCCATGTGCAACTAACATAATATACAAAATCATGGGCTAATGATCACTCTGATAGAGGAACTGTAGGAGAGATTTAGACAGAGAGATTTACACATGCATTTGGACCTGTTGCACCAATAATAAAGCGAATAAAGTGACATGTAAAGGCCAAGTATGGTTAACACATACTCACAATTTGTCTTCGGGTTACAGTCTGACTCTTTAACCATTAGGTCATGACCGCCCCAAAGCGTGTTTGAATGTGTAAACAGGCACGAACTAAGAGTGTGTAG